CGATGAGGAAAAATTCTAAAAAATCGATTTTGTCTTTTTGGCTTAATCGACGTCCTGGATCGACTAGAATATGGGTTATAATTTAATAGGCTGTAAGAGCGTTTTCTTTTTTCTCTTTTAATTTCGAGATCTTTCTCAAGCTTTTCAAGAAAAAAAAAAACATCAGTCTTCCCTTCCGAAGCAATGTCCTACTTGTTGATTTCTAACTTCTCTAACCCGCTAGCGGACATCCTTCGCAAGTATTTTATTTTTTCAGAAATATTTTCTGCTTTAAAAGCATAAAAGTACATGAGGGTACCTTCGTCGAGACGGTCCCCGAGCAACTACGAGGCTGAGTGATGGGATATGGGAAGAGTCACTTCTTCCGTCAAGGAATTAACTTTCTTGCCATGTGCTTGAGAATTTTAAAGTTTATATATTTGAAATCTCGACCCACTTCTCTGGCCCTAAACATTCCATGTTCCTTTAAAAGTCAAACTACACTACAAGCCATAAAATCATTAAATTAAATGTGGCCTGGCAGAGCGACTTCGGTATCGCAATTTTTTGAATATTTTTTCAAAATAATTTTTTTTTGACGCTTAAAGTATGCGCAGATTGTGGGAAAGGGTTTTTAACCCGAGCATGGACATGGCAGCATTTCCCCAAACTGTACGTGCAAGCACGCACGCGTTAAGGTGACAGCATTTTCAACGAGCAGATTTTGTTTTAGAATCGTTTGCTTGACCAAATATAAGCGATTTGATCTCCTTGTGAAAATAGATAGCATTGAGCGCCGGGCTGTCTTGAAAGGCATTACGTCTTCGTAAATTAATAACGATCTGCACGCGGTGTGTGAAGACTCTGCAGCATGACGGTACCAGTTTACATGATCGTTTGATCGGTACTTGACCGGTCAAAAGTTGCACATACTGGTGAAAACATTGCTGAAAGGTCGTCGAATTAGAGTTAGAGAGAATGTAGTCAATATCCAAGGTACGTGTTTGTCACATGTTGATTCACGCTTCACGAACGAGAAAGTTGACCGCACGGTTGTGCTGTTACAGGTCGATGGGTAAGAAGACAGAATTGCATGACTAGAATTTCGATTTGTTGGCCCATCCAATAATTGCTCCAGACAGAGAGATTTGCATAATGAGACGTATTTTGATTTGTGTAAATCATTCTATTAAGAAAGCAGCGAATTATTAGACAACTATTCGGTTGATTATATTATTTTTGGAGGAAATCATGTCCGCGATAGTGACTAATATTAGAATTTTATTACGTCTAGTTCCATCAAGTGTCAAATAAATATTTTTGCTTAATTTATTACAGAGACGTAAGTCCTTAATCCGATATGGTCAAGTATGGGAGTTAGTCAGACTTATTGTCTGCTCTCCTTACAAGTTTGAACTTGCTTTGCAATTTTCTGGCAGAAAATCTTTCCGAAATTAGTCGCTTACAGCTATCCACATCAGTTTACCTGTACACGTGATTTCTAGAAAACTTTAAGAATATTACGAATCTATTTTACATAAAATTTATGCATCGGGGTTCTTCTCTTTGCTAAGCAAGCCTTTCAAAGCCGTTGTTTGGTCTGTTTGCTCGCATTATCTACTTCTGGAGTTTTTTTTTTCAACCACTTTTCTTTAGAAATATTTACTAAATATATAAAATTGACTTTAGAGCTAAGAGCATAGACTAGTGTGCATTACTTTTCAACATTGCACTAAGGGCTCTCCTGGCGCGTAAATTGCTCTACGAAATAATTGAATAGTGATCTTAAATTCAACTTAAGGTAAAAAATGCAGAAAACTGAGTTGTGTCGTAAGCAAGGTATCCATATAATGCATTTAAAGAATTTGAAAAAGAAAAAAAAAAGTTAATGCTTGGAGTTTTTTTAAAGCTCTATCTAGGAAATGAAGATGAATGCTATCAATGCTTTTAAGCGCTAAGCGCGAAAGCCGTGTTTCCCGTGTACACACAATATGGCACAATATTAGCGGAGATGTTAATTTCGTTACTGGTTCTGATTTCTACTTGACGAATCCTTCTTGTCATATTTTATAGTTACCTTGTTTTTGGCATCAACTTAGCTATTAACCCCTCTTTGTTAGGAAGATATCCCCAGTTTAAGATGCAATGCACTTTTCCCAATTTTTTCCACAATTTTATTATTGCCTTAAGAGTTCAGGAATGACGTCTGAAAGGAATTTTTCTTACATAGGTCCGGAAATCGATTTTTCCAATCAAACCGCTTGAAATTGATAACACTTTGCAAAAGCTGTGTTTCTAGCTGATCGTATCGTTGTCTCTAATAGATCTTAACCTTTGACTTCAAATCTCAAGTAATGCTTCATAGAAACCCAGTATTCCTAAAATCAAGCCCACATAACACACATAAAACAATGTTTTTAAACCTTGCTACGCTTCATCAGCTGTCGCATAATGTGTCAAGAGGGCGTTTCGATTTTTGTTCTGTGACTTTTCGGAATGCAGCCAAGGAAGTGCTACCAACAATCAATATAGTTGTGTAATTGGTCTTCCATATATAATAGCCATAGTTTCATGTTTACAAGGTAGCATTATCCCGTAAGCTCACATGAAAACTTTGCAGTTAAAAAAACCCGTTTAAAAGTGAATGCAAATTTCTTGCAACCACATCGAGATCGCGTAAAAGATCGCGAATAATATTTAAATTCGCAGTATTCCACACTCGGCACTATAGGTTTTGTGAAGAAAAGTATTACAATTGGTACATTCCAGCCGGTTTGGAATCATGTTCACATAAGTACCCAAATGGGTTAAAAGCGAGAGTCAAGTCAATATCCGCGGCCTTTAATCTCAGTGCGGTAGAGTTAGTTTTGATCATAGCTAAGCGAATGCCCAATCGACAAAGGCACTTGTCGCTTGGATTGACCTCCACTAGGCTGTTTATTTCTTTCTTCCCTCCTCTTTCTGCACTTCTTTCTAGCAATCACCGCACTTAGGATTGGTCATATTAAAAAATTTTTATTGATAATTTTTTCCATTTTCTGCTACTGCCACTTGAAAATTATTGATCCAGTCGAAAGTGGGTATAAATGAATGGCCAAACATTTCAAATCATTTGAAAAATCTCAACTGAAGCTATTTAAGATTGAAGTCTGATAATGAAATCCATTCAGCCAATCACGAAATCAAACAATTAATCGCTCAATCATCTCCTGCACGACAAAGGAGAATAATTTAAAATTCCAAGTTTTGTATCATGACTTGTCTAAATCTAGTGAGAAAAGATTATTGATTATTTTATCAAAGAATTTATTGAACGTTGAGAACTGAGAACAAACAACAGAATCCAGTAGGCTAACCACTGAAGCAAATAAATAATCGCCATATCATCTCGTATATGAACACAACTCGAAATTTCAAACATGAATATTGAATTTGTTTAAGGTGAAGCGATAGGTAAAAGAATTTCAAAAATGCTTTCTTAAGAGAACAAAGCCAAGAAAGAATATCTAACGAGTACTTAAACGGAGCTGATATCACACAATTGAATCAATCAAGTTAAAGATCAATATAAATCGCAGGACAGATAGCAGTTACAAAAGGAGCAAATGCCGCATAGTTGATTCCATCATTCCATTACAAGTTGCGATACGTTTATCGTGGATATAAACTGTGATATTACGATTGTTACTGTTATTATTATGAATCACAGCGAATCCGTCATCACAAAAAGTGGTCTATTACTTTAGTATGACAAATTGAGTATTTGCGTCAACGCAGTAACTTCACCATATGATGCTCCCTGTGCACCCATTGACCTTATTACGATTGTTCTAACTAAGCAGTGAGCAGTGTGAGGCGAATGATTTAGTTTAACTTGAATTTTATACATTTCTCTTTTCTTTTTTTTTGCACATCAGACATCAGATAAAGGATTTATTTAAAGCGAACTCTTGATAAACATCGACCGTGAAACACTCTCTATGCTCTATGGCGTCCAGCAAAACTTATTGGAGTTTAACGGAAATATCCTTTCCCGTTCACTTAATTCGATAAAATTATATTCCAGTAGAGTAGTATAAAATTCGTATTTGAAAAACTTTTCTTTTATGTAAGAAGCACAAGAACAACACAAGAAATTGATTAAATTATGACAAACTGTTGGCTAACAAAATATTGCAGAGCAATTAATATTCGAAATTGACGAAAATATCTCAAAGAGATCAATAATAAAAATACACTCAATGGAAAATTTATCCGAAGTACTTAGCACTTATTTAAAAACTCTGCAGAGGATTTGGTTTAGCAAATGTTTTGCTCTTCATGCTTAATATGCAGTTGTAGGCAATAAGCATTAACATGCTTCGATCGAATGGGAATCTTCATTCCATGTGGTTAAGTTTCGACCTTAGCCCGTCCCTAGGATACTTAACATCACAACTTAATATTGCAAGAGATTGTGAACCAACCAAAAATACGCATACGTTAGCGAAGAAAAATATTTTAAAAATGTAAAAAGTAAAAAATTCAAAATATTTCTGTCCACGAATTGTGATCTTTACAAATGCCCAATTAAAACTTGGATAAAAATTATATTCCAACTTATAGTTGAAGCGTCGAGCGTGTTAGCAAACATAGCCGAAAAGTGGCTTTAAAGCTAATAAGGATAAGGTGTTTGCGTTTTCTGTAAACATATAATCAATTGTGACATTTTAATTGTTTCTAGCCAGCTATTAATCAGATCGTATTGGCAACGTATCCGCGTTAGTCGAATCCTAGATTTTCGATAATTCGCCGCTGATTAGCCGTTGCTTAACTGTAGGATGACGGAAGCGAAAACATTTTATTTGAATGTAAAATTCGAAAAAATGATAAAATAACCGTCGGCTAGGTAAACGTGCGATAATGAAACGGCTCTTAATGCTTTTAACCCCTTATTTTACATATGAAAGAAAAATAAAAGAATTGGAAAATAATTTCTTTTTTTTTTTTTACATTAGTAATCGTTTAAAGCTTTAATTTACTTTTTTCCCAAGTTGTGTGATTTTCGTAGTAATCCTCTTGTAATCCTTTTTTGGAAGTTTGTTGAATAGTTTAAATCATTAGCTTTTCCTTTTTTTGCCTTTTTTTTGTTTGTTTTAAGGTAGTCTCACTCTTTGCGGTTGTTGTTGTTGTTGTTTTTTTTATTTTTATTTTTTTTATATTACACTATACTATGCGGTTTTTCCTTAATATCAGAGTTTTTTTTCATTTGTATTGTGTTGTGATTTTAGATAATTACACGCAGCACATACCGCAGAGCTAAAATGCTTTAACACACGCTTTTGAACGCATAACAAATAGCACTTTGGTTAATCCTTTTATGATATGGTTAACTGGTGTTCACCAGTGCTGTGCGTTGTCACAGTTAAAAAAACCTATATACATACATATATATATATATATGTATATAATAGAACCATAAATTTATCCTATTTTTTCCTTTCCTTGTCGGTCGTTGTCGTTTCACTCTAGCTATTGTTATTATTTAACACCTTTTTCCTTATAATCTTTTTCATGCATTGTTGAAAATTTTATTTCATAGAAAAATTTTCTTTTTTATTTCACTCTTATTTTCTTTAAACACGAAATATTAATCAATTTACTTTGCCTTCACTAAAGCTTCATTCATTTATTCATACATTCATTTACTCCCATTGTTAACACAATTATTTTATGGTATATTCACACGTTAGTATTTCATTAAAAAAAAAAAAAGAAAAAACCAACAACACTTTGTATACAACTTAAATATCCTTACAATTGTAGACTCTGTATATATTTTGTATGTATGACACTCGCGTATATCCGTTGGAAGAACATGTATAAAACTTTCTTGCGCACACAAAACATTTATATTGAAAACGTTTTACGTTTACTTATTAGAAATACCATCAAATTGTTTGAATATCCCGGCAACGTATATTTCGCACAAGCTCTCACAATTAACACATCTTTCTCGTTCAAAATTCAAAAAAGCACTAAAAAAGTATGGAAAATGGAAAATCTTACGTTCAAAGAGAAAAAATCGCTTGCATGCAAGAAAGACGACGGCATCCTCTCAAAAAAAGACCACTGTACAGAGCAAAACAAAATTTTACTCTCAACAAATCGGCAACACTGAATTGAGCTCGCTTAGCCCATATTACGGGTTTTTGTGCGTGAAGGATATACTCTTGTTTTGCTTTGAATTTGCATTCTCTCTCTCATTCTCTCAACAATTTTGTTTCACTAGCGATACAGATACGTGCTATGTTGGACAGCCACAACGCATTTTGTACATTTGTATATCGGGTGTGGAATGTATTATTATTTAATAAGTGGAACTAGTTTATATACTTCACAATGATTTTATATCATAAGTAATAGATTTAGAGGAAGTGAAACCACACAAATACTGAACGAAAACAAAGAGCATGAATGCTTCTAAGAGAAAGTGGAAAGAGTTTGATATTGGAAGAGACATTTGTAACTTTAGTAATAACATAGTTTCTACACTTAAAAGAGAATACTTTCTCTTCAAATGTTTTTTTTATTACTATTTATGCAGAGAAATTTATAGGAACTGAAAAATTTATAAAAATAAATCTCTTTATGAATAGCAAGCCCTCATAAAGGCAATGTTTAGCTAAGTATCTTCGATACTATTTTATCGAACGTTGTTTTTATTTTTACTTTAATTCATTAGGTCAGTTTAAATTGCAGCTCGCAACCAGCAAATTGTTTATATTTCCTTGTTGCGTGTTGTTCGAATAAAGAGATTTCTTTTTGCTCTTTTCTTATAAATTCATAATAAATAAAAATGTTTATAAACAAGCACTAGCAACATTGAAAATAGTTTAGCTACATCCTTTGTCAAAAGTTTACGTTTCAAATTCAAATAGAATAAACAAAGTAGTTAATAAATTTGATTATAATAAAATATGTGGAAATAGTAACCTTCATAGCAATGTCGGCATTCGGTAGATGAAGCCAATGCCTTCATTAAAAAAAAAAAAGAAGGGAAATGTAGAAAATTTAATTGTTTGCATCTTTACACACCATTAAACACTACGCGGTTGTTAGCTAAACCTAATTTCTACGTTAGAAGTCGCACCAATCGAAAAAAACTGAAAGCAGAGAAGGATAATAAATTATATTAATTAGCAGTTATGAAGTTTCACGCACACATACGCACGCAAACAAACGCACCGGAGCACGCACTCGTACGTACACGACTATAAATTTATTAAACACAGTAATAAAACCCTTTTATGAAATCATTTGAAGAGAAAAACATTTTCCTGCTTTGTTCTTTTTTTTTTTCTGGCGTTACTGTTAACGTTGTTGCTGCTGGTTTGGTTCTGGTTAAGGCTTTTGTTAAGCCAAAGGTCACAGATGCGTTACAGTCCACAACAGTAACCGCGGTAACAGTATTATAGGCAATCAAAGACCGTAAAGCCTTTACACATTTTTAAACCACACTCGTGAAATTAAACTTTATGAGCATGTAATGAAAACAAGCGAGAAAATTCTACACACCTTTGAGTGAATTTTTGGACACCTATACTGGACGATAAAAGTGCATAAAAGAAACACCCTTATATCTTGCAATTTCTAGGCGTGGGCATTGGATTTATGGTAACAATTTTTTAGATGGACCTCACGGGTTTCTGGCTGATTTTAAGGCAAATTTCAGTTAGAAAATGTGTTCGAAAATATTGTTTAAAATGTTTTCTTGACTTTAAATTCTACTAATCTTTTTCGCTCTTCTAAAACTGTAATAATTGGAAGAATTAACAGCAGTTTAAAATTCGATCTGCAGATCTCAAGTAAAACATCATACAGGGGAAGAAGCCGGCATTTACGCATTTATTCAAAATTCATTAGGAAAGATTAGATGAAAAATTCGCTTAAAACGAGTCACCAATTAATATATATATATATATATATATATATATACATCCGCTATGTCTATATATATGTATATAATATAGACATATATAGACATATATATATGTATATACATCAAGTTAACGGATACGTACACATACTTACATAAGTTGCATACATGCGAGCAAACACGTATGCACACAGATGCCCATTTATATATAATATGTATACATATATATTTTTATAGATCTGTGTATGTTTCCCACTGTTTGTCTGTTGTCCGCTGTTGGAATGGCGTGCGGAGTATCCAAACTAGCATACCTTTAAGGAGACTATGAATTGTACATAGTGAGCACACAATATTATAAAAGGATTTACAAAAAAGCAAGTGACTAAAGTTAGGACGAAATATCGTTATCCTTTTATAGGGGCTAAAAGGGTTGTAGCGGTCGAAAACTTTATCAATAAATTACATTGGAGCTATATGAAAATGCGATATAATTACCTGAATTTTTTTGCTTTGAGAAAAGTCTTAACGTCACTTACCCGCAATATGAACATTGCTGAGGTAATAGTCTGCCAAATTTCCAACCAATGCAGGTTGCTGGCACATTGTTTAAAGACTGGTTTCAATTCTTTACTATTCCTGGTTGGAAAAAAGTTCTGTTATTTTCCAGCTTGATATGTACCTGGCTTATGTAGACGAAGAACTTAAATTTCCATGAAATCCATTTTTTTTTACTTTTATTTATAAGCACAACAGTGTTTTCCCCAAATCTTAAATCAGTCGGAGTAAAACTCTAAGAGAAAGAGGACGATAGGTGAATAGATAGATAGATATACAGATAGACAGATAGTTGGAGAGAGATATAGAGATAAATAGATAGATCGAGAGAGATGGAAAGAGATTGAGAGGGGGAGGTGGGGAGAGAGAGAAAGAGAAAGAAAGAAAGAGAGAGAGAGAGAGAGAGAGAGAGAGAGATAGACTTTCAAAATTTCTGTCGCCACTGGTACTACTTAACTCTGAATATGGACTTTATTCCCAAAACTGGCTTTATGCAATGGAAAGGGTTGCAATATATTTTTAAATCCTTTTACCGATCTCGAGTTACAATCTCTTACTATTTCGCGATCACGATTTATATTGATCACCGCTAGAGTGCTTCTTTCGAAGACGTTTCGAGTTTTCAAAATTTTTAAATAAGTATTTTATGGTGTATTCTTTATTATTATTAATTCAGCGAGGGAAGCAAATTCTAAGACCAAAGTCTCATATTACTAATATCTGAGGCTATCAGCCTTATTGAAAACTTTACCGCAATTGCTAAGCCAATAGATTTGTGGCTTATATGTCCAATTTTTCAAGTTGTTGATTAACGGATTACGTCTGTTGGCGAGATAACGTGATGAAATGTTTCTATTTGTTGATCCTTTGCGCTTTCTATTTCCGATTTCTAAAACAATACTTGTTGTTGTATGCCGCCAATATGAAAAATTTTGCAAAATGTAATACTTACTTGCCAATGTCAAAATTTTTGTTTATTTTTTGGTATGTTGAAACAGAGATGAACTAAGCCAATAGATTTGTGGCTTATATGTCCAATATACGAATATACACTTATTTTATAAATCGGCACAATACATGCAAAACAAATGAGAACGAATATACACTTATTTTATAAATCGGCACAATACATGCAAAACAAATGAGAACGAATATATGCTTATTCTCTTATTGACTTTATGTTTGTGGATGGTATCTTTCGCTTTATTGCTTAAATGTGCGGCTTCTTACATGCTTAGAAGTGTCAGTGAAACAATTCGACAAAATAAGTTTTCTTTGTCTTTCTCAAGCGATGCAATCTCTAATGTCTCATGCTCGAATTTCGACGAAGTAAATAAATTAAGAAAATGTCCAGATCTTTCAACTTTTGAATCCTTTATATTTTCCAATAAAGTAACTCTTCCTGCTTAGTAAAAAAATTATTATGATTAGAGTTAAATTTTTTCGGCGTGCTACAGACAAGATGAGAAAATTAATATACCCACTTTCTCCTAGATCGTGGTTGTAAAAAAGGCACGGCATGCTTTTACATAAAGAATCGATACGAAAGTATCCAACAAATACCATTTCCACTGCAATAATCACAATAACCTGTTGTTGTTGTTGTTGTTTTTTTTTTTTTTCTTCGTTTGTGTTCACAAAGGTCCGACATCTATTATAAATTAATTCCCCCTAAAGACACACACGCACATGCATATATATAAAGCAGTTGTTGAAAAAATAAAACAACAAAAAACAACCGCAAGCTTTATTACAAGAGTCGGTGCTAATTTGTTTTAACTCAATCAGCTGCGCAGGAAAATTTAAAACAATCAAAGAAAATTATCAAAAATTTTTTATTTCATTTTTTACCGCTTCATTTTCGAGGGTGCCGAGCAGACAGCGAAAGGTTCTGCGTGTATTGCCGGCGATTTAGGGCATTTGTACATTTATTAGAAACAATAAACGACAGAAAGAGGTTTGAACTTATACTATAGACGGATACGACAAAATATATGCCATTAGTAATGTTCTGGTCTATGCGGCTTATGTTTACTACGGACGAGTATGTCACGATATATAACATATATGTACGCAATCGTATGCATAAATAACATATTTACATAACAAAAACAAACATATGCATGAAGCATGATGCCAATCGAATTCCTGACTAAGGCAGCAGCATACATAGTATAGGTATAAAATTTGCGGGAAGAGACGCCGACGTCGAAACATTGGCACGGCGCCGACTGATCGGGAAGGGAAGGTAGATGCAAAAGCTTATTTCGAACATATGCCAACTGATCCACAACCATCACTTGATCCAACCACATAGTTGTCATTATCAACACCGGCTTAAACTTCAACTTGGCTCTTTGTATAGTATTTGTAAGATTACAGTAGACATTGAACAGACAGAAATTGATGAATTTCTTCCTCACGACAATCGCTTGTCTTAGGAAAATGCATGGCTATCGGATTGTTTGTCGCAAACGTACTGGAGAAACAAGAACAGGAGGAACATCAACGTGGACTCATAGAAA